TTTCAAATTTCTTCGATTTCGACAGAATTTTACATGTATATTACAATCTTAAAATGAATCAAAAACAATTATCACATTTTGAAAACTACATAAGGGGCCCCAAGATGACCTATGAACACCTTGCAGCCCCATTAGTCTTTCAATTGTAGTGGTTAGCAGCATTCTGATGAAAATTTGCACATAATTTGTGTTTAGATCAATCAACTCAAAATCAAAACTGACACCCTATGTGTCATAAATACATTATGAAAAATATCAGTTTTTCCCATGGATTGCCCGTTTTGGTTTGCATTAACTTGACGGCAAAAATTATATCCTTCCTTAAGAAAAAAAGAATGAGTGCAAACGAAAGTGTGCACCGATGAGAGAAGTGCATGTAGGTATAAGACGCGTGTGCGAGGCCAATCAAGATGTATAGTGTGTACAATTAATTTTGCTCCACGTCTGATGATTGATCAAGTTATGTAGTGCGTACTATCGATTTTGCTGCACGTGTAGTGTTCATTAGTGCTATGTGATGAAATAAATGCAAAAAATCTCATTTGCATCAAAGTTGTCATCCAGTAAAAAGATAGGCTGCCTTCATGAATGTATATTTTGAATTTTTGATACTTTAAATTTATATTTGTGAAAATCATATAATTAAAAAAGTTTAAGCGTAAATGCCAATTTTTAATTATGTATTTATTATCTTCTAATCAGCATATAAATAATGCTTACTAACTCATATATTTGGAAACTTAAGCCCTAAAATTTTGACAGTTTTATTCTGGAAAATGCACTTATAATAATGTAAAGACCCTCTTTTGATTCATTTATAATTATGCTAAACTTAGCATGTACGTTTTAACGTTCATAGTGAGTAGGTTTCTAGCTGCACGTTAATTTTTATTTTTATCACTAGAACGTTTTTTTGGTAGTCTATTTTTAAATAAATCCTAACTTTATGAGCTTGCTTATAATTGTTTACCACGTTCCCGTGGTCTCCCTTATAAACTTGCATTTAATTTATTGTGGCTATATTTCCATTAATGTGTATAATATTCTTGCCTTTTAATTGATTACTTCATCTTTATTCAAAAAGCTTAGCCAAACCCCTCCAACTACAGCCTGACAGTAATGCCAAGAAAGTGAAATCCTTCACTTGGACGTGCTACTACTACAGCCAAATGCATGAAAGCATGGAGAAGAAATGCTTTCGAAACAAGAAACTCAAATTAGACTGACATAAAATGCTATTTCTACAGCTAATGCAAGGTCAGCAGAAACTAATGAGCAACAGTTAACTAGACGAGGAAGGAACGCTGCCAGAACTTCTACTACTTGAGCTGTTGAAACAGAGGGGCAAAGAACAATTCTATAGTCTTTGTGAACATTGGTTTTCAGCCGTGGCATGGCTGCTAGGAGAAGCCTTTGTCGAATTTCTTCTCCTTCCAATACATGTTGTTCATTCAATGTAGTTTGAGCAAAAGCTGTCAACAAAGCATTTCTCCTCAATAATTTTTTAAGATCAATTGTGATTAATGTAATCTTCATTTGATTTCAAATTGTTTTGTATCTTCTGTGCTTCTGTAAAAAAACAACTTTCTCCTGTTATAAATGTTTTCACACTTCATGTCATTATAATTTTTTGCCATATAGATAAGAGGCACTAAAGAAAAATCTTCTTTATTTTAACTTTACAGATTGGATGAGGTTCGTGATCTTTTTTTGAATAAACCCAGGCAATGCCAGGTAATGCTGCTAGTAGGTTATAAATTAAAGGTATCATTTCACATGTAGGATTTTAGATTTATCTTTATTTCATGCAGCAATTAGTAATCTTGTTAATTTTTTTTTTTTTTTTTTTCATTATTTTTTTCCATCTTTCAATGTTGATGTGATTTTCTTTTCAACTTTTGTTGCAAACACAAAAATCAAATCGTTATTATCATAATAAGTGCTTGCGCAGACCCCACACTAGCTTTCATCTATTGTTTTTCTTTCAGTTTGGATGTTATTTTCTTTTACGACTTTTTTAACAAACATACAAAAATCAGATCATTATCATCAGTGAGCATGGATACAGACCCCACACTATTAGTAATTTTTTCATTTTTTTCTTTGCAGTTTTGATAACAAACACAAAAATCAGATAATCATCATCAGTGAGCATGGATACAGACCCCACACTATTAGTAATTTTTTCATTTTTTTCTTTGCAGCTTTGATAACAAACACAAAAATCAGATCATCATCAGTGAGCATGGATACAGACCCCACACTATTAGTAATTTTTTCATTTTTTTCTTTGCAGCTTTGATAACAAACACAAAATCAGATAATCAATCACATGGATACAAAATAATTTTTTCATTTTTTTCTTTGCAGCTTTGATAACAAACACAAAAATCAGATCATCATCAGTGAGCATGGATGGATGTTGATCCCACACTATTAGTAAATTTTTAATTTCTTTTCTTCTTTCAATGCTGAAGTGCTTTTCGTGACAATTTAGCCCATTACACTAGTTATGACATCACTGACTGCTACTGATATATACTGACATAGGACAAAAAGAAAATAATGTCTTATTGAGTCAACAACACGTATGTTTCTTTGCCTTTACTTTTAGTAGTAATCTTTACTTATTCCAATTCACATACATTATCACTATAACACACAAAATGCCATCGAAAGTATAAAAGCTATTAGCCAAGGTTTTTTTTAATGCTATCTCCCTTCAAAATGCAAGCAGTTATAACTCTCCACTGTTTTTTATTTTTTTTTTGTTATTTATTTTTTATTACCTGTAAATTATCATACCTTCTTCAGAAAGATAGTGAAGTGGTTTCCTGTTGCCTTCTCTATGGTTTGGAAGTTTTCCTTTTGATAGATTAGTTACTACTCAAGACTTGGGAGCCCAGACTTGGGAGCTATTTAACCCATATCTGTGCAAAGACGAGATGGATTCATGCATTTGTGCAAAAGTGAACACAACAGGCTAAGGTAGAACTTGAACTCATTTCACCAATTCCACTATCCACACACCCACTGAATGCGAATGTTACATTTGGTTAATTTAATGACATATCAACCATTTGTAGTTTATTCAAAATCAAATATAAGTCTTATAGAGTAAAAAAAACACAATGAATTAGGAGACATCAGTTTGGTTTACTCTTAATTCAAAAGCTCCGGACAGAAAGCTCTTTACCTGACTAGGATCAAAGTGTAGTATCTGCCTTCAGGCAGAAAAACTACATTTTATCTCTCAATTGTGTCTTTGTCTTTGGGCAGAGCACAACTGAAAATATTAATGAATAGTGCCTGGTCTCTGGGGAACAGCTACCCACAGCAGTACCTCCCTCATAGCACTAAAGCAGTTGGAATCAGTAGTGTTACTGATGCCGGTGGAACTGACAGCTGTGGAGGCTGGGCTATTTTTTGACCTAAACCGGGTGCATGTGCTTGGGTTGTCCACATTAAACTGACCTTGTGTCACATCTTGTGGGGTGGCAAGTAAACACAATCTGCCATCAAGTAGACAAACCACATATTATTTCTCAATTGTGTTTCTATCTGAAGATAGAAACACAAGTAAATGAGGGATGCCTGGTCCTGAGGATTCCAACCCTGTGGCAGCACCTCCCTCATTGTATTTGGTACAATGAGGGTTGGTGGAATATCAGCATGATATTGGTTGCAGGGACCCGGCAATTTTTGGCTTTGGGCTCTCAACACTAAAATGGCTTTGTGCCATATCCTGTCACCGTGAGAGAGGGGCAAGAAAATACCAGTCTAGTAGCTGTTCGCTCTCGCCAGTAAAGTTACATTGCACTGAAGAGGGAGGGATGGTGGACACAAACGCCAGCATCACAATGATCTTTGCACTGGGCAATTTTTTGTCCTTGACCTATATATATGTGTTGTGGATTCCGAGATGAAATTCGGTCTCCAATGAATGACAAACACAAGAATTAAATATAAGAAATTAAATGTATTTACACAATAATACAATGGGTAATGCTGTTAGTATATCCAGGAACGTGGTTAGTAGCAATAATATATATATATATATATATATATATACAGTCTCGAAGTAGGACTTCCTTAGAGTCTACGTGCTTGTAACTGTGACTTCTGCAAGCAGCTACCTCACGCTATTACTCTACCTCCAACTCAATCATAATCTCTGCTTGCTCTCTCTCTATATTCTGACTGACTCTGGGTATTTAACGGCAACAGTCCAAGTAACACTCTGGTCGAGTCCACTTATATGAAAAAGAGGAGGACCCCATAACAATATGTATATAGGTACCCCAGATTAAACCTACCTAGTGTCATATCCTAACATTATAGAGAGGTGGGTAAATAGCAGATTAAAGTGTAATATCTGTTCTCCTCTCTGTTGCTGTTCTGCCTTTCTGCAATTCTTAGGTTGAAAAGTAGGAAACTTTAATTTGTTTACCCTGTTGGTGGTGCTTTGAATATACTGATTGTATCTCCAGCAGAGAGGAAGGACCTCCCACTGCATCAAAGGCCCCATTTTGGGGCAATTTGCAGACCCAACCAATGTTTATCTATTTTAATTAAGTTGTCATCTAAACCTACATTCACCTTTTTTGCATTAATGGAAATCAAGACCTATGCCCACCTTTCTAATCAAATTGTAAACTACGCATATGTCTATCTTTTTAACTCTATGTAAAGTGGTGTCTACATTTTTGACTAGAGTATAAACCAGAAATATATCTACCATTTTTACTATATATTGCATGAGTGGAAATCAGGATCTATGCCATCCTTCTGATCAATTTGTAAACTTGAGGCTTTCATATGTATGATATGGTGGGTAGAACCTTTCTTCAGAAATATCTAAACTGTCAGTTGTATACAACTGCATTCAAGTGAGTGAAGCATATGGGTCACAGCAAGGACCATCCTTCTTTGAATCCTGTGGACTGGTGCTACAGAATCACAAAGAACTGTACCAGATAACCTACATCATGTGAAGATTTTCAACAACACACACACACAGATAGATAGATAGATAGATAGATAGATAGATAGATAGATAGTGTGAAGCCAGAAATGCTGTCAGTCAGTGGAAGCCTGAAAGAAAAGATATTTAAGCAAGAAGTATTTACAATCAAGTGCTCTGTATCAGAGATAGAGCATTAACAGGATTAATACAAATATGAAACTTGTTACTTAGCTAATCGATGTCTTGACTCCAGAGTTTCGTAGATGCTCTCCCCAACCAGCAATCATTCTGTCCATAGATAATGGGGCAAAATGGAAAAGCTTTCTTTTTTTTTTTTTTTTAAATGACAACATATTTTGCCACCATGGCTTAAGTTTGGCACCTTAAAAAACAGTTTTTGGTCTCTGGTCATTGGATCAATAAGATAATTTATTGTCCCTCTTAAATTCAAAAATACCAATGCATTTTCTTTATAGACAATTTTATCCTTTATTCTGACCTTCATCATGGGCATGACAATAAACTACATCCAGCAGCAAGACCTCTGATCAGCAGGTTCTGAAGACTGTGGAACCACTTCTTAATTGTTTTTGTTCCCAGGTTTACCTTGACCCAGGGTTGTAGCACCTGTTAGGGTTCCAGTTATGGACAAATTGTTAACCCCCAAACTGGGTTCAAAACACTATGAGAATATAAAAATAGATTTTTATAGTAAAAATACCAATTTTCATATTAAAAAATTACCAGCAATATATTTTTGTAAAACAAAAATAAATAAATATTGTGATGTAATGAATATGCATACACCTGGGTTCCCCCTCACAGTAATATGATTGGCTGATGTCAGCCATAAATACAGACTGATGTGGAGGTACAGGACAATGCCTATTGTCTTCCCCTATTGCCTACACCTATTGCCTACCACTACAACGAAGACCAGTCCATTACAGTTAATTGCTAGATTGTTCTACCCAATTACAGTAGTCAACAACCACTTTGCTACTTCAAACAAATATATCCCTTTCTGGGGCATATTGTGGATTCTTCCACAACAAGCTAGTTAACACCTGCTAGGAAATGCACTATTCCTGTTATAATTTTCACCATCACAATCTTACAAATATATAACAAGTATTCATTGGTCAATCACCTTCAATCTGGCTTGCTGATTGGTCAGTTCCGACCAATCTGTTTTCCCACTCAATATGCTGGGAGCCTCCCACGTGGTACATGACCATTATATAAGCAGAACACGTGTAAGCTCCCTGAGTAGTTTCTTTTCATTCATCTCTCTCTCGCACATCTCATTCCTTGCTACCAAGTACCAAGATGTAATCTTCAAGAACTCCCGTCTTAGCCATTGCGGTCAGATGTTAAAGACCATTACCAACATTCATGCAAATACGAACTCTGAAATCTCTTCTGAACTTTTACAAACTTGTACAATACACAATTCCAAACATGCTAAAGAAACTTCATTTTTCTAAATTACAGTTTAATATTCCTTCCTTTTAATATGAACTCAGGTACAACTATTACCTAATCAAAGGGACACGACTATGTCCTACCTTTTTAGTTCGCATGCATGTATATCCAATATTAATAAATTCAATTGTTATGTTTTGAACTCATTCCATTCAGTTTTGTATTTTACACTATGTGCTATTTATGTCAAATATAAATTGCATTGTGTCCACGCATTGTCCTTAATCCCACCTTTCCTAGCCAAAGTTAAATATTGGTAACTCAATCACTACAGAGGACACATGGCACAGTGGATAAAGGTGTTGGTTAGATCCAGTGACAGGACCCAAAGAGTGTGAGTTCAATATCCGGTTAAAGCAGTGCAGAACTTTCAGAGGGAATTTAACAGGAGATAACTGATAAATGACATCCATCAAACATGGCACGTGGAACTAGAACAGTCTACCCCGGTGAGCGAAATAAAGGGTTCAGTTCGACATTCCAACCACCTAAAGAAGGCCGGAGTATACAACGGCCGAAATGTTGAGATGAATATGGCGACAAAGATGAGGACAATAGTTCGAATAATGTAAATAATGTCAATCACTACAATATCATATTGCCAGAAATATATTTTTGTAAAAAAGAAATTACCATTTTTGGAAAAGAAATTACTAATGCTCTCTATGGGAAATTTATCCTGGCTTTCCCACATGAAAGGGTTAAAAAATGCAACAAAATTGAATAAAAACTGCATCTACGGCTTGAAAGGCTAGAACAGACAAACTCTCTCTTTTAGGCGGAAGAATAAAGAAAGACTCAAGCTCCTGCTCGGTAGTAAAAATAAAGGGAGAAAATGTTTATTTACATGCATAAAAAGAAGGGGTAAAAGGATATACACAATTATGAGAGAAAGAAAGGGAGAGGAAAATTCTTTTAACTTTAAAGAAAGAAAAAATGTTCATAAAAAAGGAAAGGCTTGCTCAAAATATTTTTCTGAGCACCTAAAAAAGCAAGTAGTAGATTGTTGTTTAAAGGTGAAAACGCTCACAGACTTGTTCAAAGTTGTTGTAGAGGTGGAAAATGTCGGAAGATATAAGTTTTGAAGTTGAGTAAGTTTGTAGGCCAGCGACAGATATCTTCTCAGTACAAGGAGGCAGATCTCAATTGGTTTTTATTAGTGGGCCACCATTGACTGCCTTTCTGTCACTGACCTCATGGATGGTGGTTGAAGTCACTCACTTGCCAAATAAGCAAAGATTTTCCATATTTATAGAGATTTGGGAGGCTCAGAAATTTCAGGGACTTTTCCTTCCAAAATTGTTCTACAAATTTCCTGGCCCCTTCATTGGTTAGAAAATATGTTCTTATCACTGATAAGAATCAAGGTTTTGGGAGCTGCTTTGGAAGCAATGGTCCGACAAGCTGTGATCATTTCTCCCAGACTCTATGGCATCATGGACAGGATAATGGTGGTCGAATTCCTTTTTATATTTTCCAACTCTCTCATTTGTTGGAAAATAAATTCTTATCTCAGATAAGAGCCAAAGCTTTTGGAGCTGGATTTGAAAGCAGATGGAAAAAGTTGTGGTGAGAATTGGAAAAGAGGCTAGAATGTGAACTTGTAAAATATTGTATTTGTGGTTCTCAAATTAAATTCCAATACTCTCCAAAAATTAAATTTCAGCATTAAATGACCCATGAGGAGTTGATATGCCATTAAACAAACAAACAATTATTTGAACTTGAAGACACCAAACTTAACACATTATTGAAATGCATTGTCATTTAAAAAAGATTTCCCCTTTTGTTTCAGATACTATTCTACATCCTACTTTTATGCATATGATATGTATTTTTTAAGTTATCTTCTGTTTATATGTTATTTTTATAGATACAAATATTTAAGTAAATGCTCTGTTTTTAATAAACAGTGTTAACAACATTTATCAGCCTGAATGTCCAAGAAATTTAAATAGAAAATATGTGTCCTCTGACAGGGATTGAACCTGTACCCTACATGTAATCATCATTTGGCTAAATTCATACCCTAGTGCACTGAACTGCCCCAGGGCAGGAAAGAAGTGTGTGTGTGTGTGTGTGTGTGTGTGTGTGTGTGTGTGTGTGTGTATATATATATATATATATATATATTCGAACTCGGCTCTGCAATTCCTCAATCCAAGCCGCTATCCATTACTCCACTGAGAGAGTCGATTATATATATATATATATATATATATATATATATATATATATATATATATATATAGGAGGCACGGTGGAGTAATGGATTGAGACTTGGATTGAGGAATCAGAGAGCTGAGTCAAATCCATTACATTCACTTACATTCTAATACCATTGGGAAAGGTGTGAATCCTCTTCTTCTCCCTCCAGCTATGGGTAAATAGCAGGACAGACTGGGTTCTATAGCCTTGAATGGCAACTGGTCTAGAAGAAGGACAACCCTGAATTCAAAACCTGCGAAGGGTCATTTGGGGACCTTGTGGTGCATAGTGCACCAAGTCTCTGTATTCGGCCCTTCACAAAGTGTGGATGGTTCTGCACAAAACCTTCACCACTATAATCAAATCTCATGTGCTGGTGTCGGGCTGTCGGTTCCTATGAACTGATTTGATTGACATTCATACGTCGAATTCAACGGGAGAGTCGAGTATATATATATATATATATATATATATATATATATATATACATATGCTCTGTTTATACATTATTTTTATAGATACAACTATTTAAGTAAATGCTCTGTTTATAATAAACAGTATTAATTACAGTTGCCAGCCTGAATGCCCAAGAAATTTTGTAGAGAATATGTCTACCTCTGACAGGAATTGAACCTGTATCCTACACAGGACCATCATATAGCCTCACACACTATACCAGTTTAGCTACAGAGGAGCATCTGGTTATCAAGGTTAATTTTACTGCTTTTAAACTACAACTTTACATGATTTTCCTTGAACATTCATATCTGTTCAATGCATTTCCAAATGAAAACAAATGATGTCACACACTATGAAATGGATTAAGTCCATCAATTATTTTTAAAGTTATCTTCTGTTTATACATTATTTTTATAGATACAAATATTTAACTAAATGCTCTGTTTATAATAAACAGTATTAACAACATTTACTGGCCCGAATGTCTAAGAAATTTTCATAGAAAAATATGTATATATCTAGTAAAAAAATAAAATCCTGACATTTGCCTTGATAAAGTCTTTCAGAGGACAAAATGTGTCAGCTAAGTTTTCCTTTAAATAACATTGTACTTTTACAGATAAACTCTTTACATATATATATATGAGATAACAATATATAAATTTTTAACACTATCAGGGGAAATTATGTATGGCAAATTGAGAAAAATTTTCGTGTGTTATGTTTTGTCCTTTAGGACATCCTCAAACTAAATTTATTATGTTGTTGTGACTACATATGCTCATGAATGAGGGATGCTGGGAATTTTAAAGTTAAAAAAACATTTTTTAATATTGTTTTTATTTAGATTCTTTTTCTTTTTGTGGACACCAAGTTTTAACCAGAAATCAACCAACAAAAAGATCTAATAAATTTCTATTCTCATCTTAAAATAAAATTCGGTATAGGATTCTTCTTAAGTGCACTCAAAATTTGC